ATTGAAAAACGTCGCTCCAATTGCTTTTGCCTTCCAGTAGCAAGCTTTACAATTCTGAAAAGCAGCATCCATCTAAAATGTCAAATATGCCATTCCCAAATGTACATGAATGATTATGGAAAAATACAACAGAAAGGAAAACGAACCTACAAATATTTACGAGGCTGCCTAAAGTGTATGGAACTTCCCCTAAATTGAGAGCCTGGTGCTCCAAAAATAAAATGGTTATGTACCGTTTCTCCGCCTGTACCTCTTCTACCTTCATCCCCACTCTGGGATCCAATATTGTGGTAAGGCCGCAATTCTTTTTTCGGTCGAGATCTCTTCTTCCTCTTTATTCCCGTTAAGAATCCAGATCCTTTGGATGGATTCAATTATGTGCAAGTTGAAATGAATGTTATAATGTAACTAAATTGATTTAGACGTCAATGGACCAAGCATTTCTCCATCAGCAACCCAGTGCGCAAAGCTATCGGAAAATTCATCCAGATTGATGTCGGAGTAGGTGGTATACATGGATGCTGATCGGTTCCCTCCCTGAAGAAAATAGGAAGAGATAAATTTTATAAGAAATTGAAGTACATCCCAAAATAATGTACCCTGGCAACAGCAATGGTTTAAAGAACGTGCATCTGGTAAAATGCCGTAGATATGCTTACAAATAATTAAACAAGGAAAAGATCCAATGGACCATAATTCCACGTAAACAGGGCCTGAATTTCGCATAGTGTTACCATTGTATGTGAAATAGCGACTTTCATTTGTACATCGGAACATACAAGACTCGAAAATAATGATACCAATAGGAAACGAAATACTTACCTTAATGCTTGAACCAGATTCACTGGGAGATGTAGTAATTTCAATTTTCAGATCAGCAACATTCTCAGAGGAGGATAGGCCAGCAATAGACCTGACACCAATAATATACACCATTTTGCCATAAAACTTCGGCAGCTGAATTATAAACTTAAGTTTTGCTACTGCAAACTCATTGATTTTTTTTTTCCCTTAAAAAAAAACGCTCATACCAAATGTGGTGGACTAGGGTGGTGATCTAAGATCATATTAATTTAATGAATTCTCCCAGATTTAATGGATGTAACATAAAGGAATTTCCCCTTCATTCCAGTTTTGAGAAAATTGACAAATGAACAGAATAAGGAACAATTTTTGGAATTAAAATTGAAATACAGCACTGTTTTAGTTTTTCTTTTGAAGAAAATCAAGATCTATTAAGACTGCTTTTTACTCCAATTTTTTGTCTCTAATAATAAACTGAAGAATATTTGATGGCAAGCTCAATGGATGGTCACAGTGATGAGAGGTGAAGCTAGTTATGCCTAGTGATTGTCATACATGCATGTATCACACCAACATTTACCACAAGTGGGTAATGTTAGCATGACTAATGGTTTCAGAGTAGTTGCACTAAGGAAAATTTTCCACTTTGTATGAATTATTTCCAATAGGATGATTTTAAGTACCTGTCAAAGTACCTGTCATACAGATCATCTTCACAGGAATTTCCTGATGACGATAGCCAATCCTTATCAAAACTTGTGCAGCTACATTCATCTCCATTTTCATCATAACAGATGTAATCACTTTCGAAAAAATAATTATTTTCCATATCTCCAAAACGTTTCCTGCAAGACAAGGTAGGAGAATACCTAAAGGCCAGTAGAATAATGGATTAAGTATCATGCTATAACTCTCTAAGAGAACTACCATCTCTAAAGGGGGGAAAAAAGGATAACTGTCTCAAAAAAAAAAAAAAAAAAAAAAAGATTAAAATAAATCTGACTACATCTCTGTTGAGGTAATTAATATGAGGAAAAAGATTTGAGCACCTGGCATAAGATAAGCCACTTTTGCAAGTTAATATCTCTGGCATGGAATCTGAGAGACCCTGGTTAGCTTCTGTCTGCCCAAAGAGAGTTCGATTGCATGCACCATTTGAAGGGGGAATGGATGAGTCACTTGCGATATTGCCATCAGAGAGTGATCTTTTAAAATGTGACCTACAGATAATCAAAGGTGACCTTGTTTGTAGTTTGTCCAAAAATAATCAGTTTGCCATTCTGAGTGATTATAGAGTAGAAATAGTAACCATATCACTTTATTTTCTAACACAAGCATATGAATAAATATGCCCATAAAAAAATTTAGATAGCAGCACTCTATTAGAATTTTATTGAAATGATAATTTTTAGTTTTCAGAGAAATTCTTGGAGCATTTTATATCATTCTAAATTCATGCTTAAAATTGTTTCACAAGGATTTAATTGAAGAGAATTTCAGCAAATTTCTGAAATATTCCAAAATAATTCCCTGAAATCTGCAGAACAACCCCAACCAACTAGAACAGAGAAAACTGTATGGTATAGAAAATATCATTCTTAATTTATACTTAAAATGACTCTGTCCACTTCTATAATTTGGACATAAGCAGTCAAGTATGTCACAGTAGCAGGTATCAGCAATGAGAGACAACATACGTAGAATTCTCAATAAGAGAATTAGAAGATTGTGTTCCAACATTGTGATGCTGGTCTGAATCCAATTCCCAGAGTGCTGGTTTACCCTGTTGTGGTTGAAAGTGACCCAAGAACCTGCAGATTATTGAACCAAGTAACATGTTTCAGAAGATTATCTACACTCAGCATGAAAGATTGCAGTAGGAATTGCAGGTTCATTATTACAAAAACAATTAAAATGGTATGAAGGATGAGGATTCTTCAACTTACACATTAATGGCATTTTGCTTCTCAGCATCCATGTAAGCATTGCTGTAGTAACGTTGTAAAGTTCTAAAGAATTCCTGGGACTGAGTCGCTGCCTTCCATTGACCTCGCCATTGAGAAAATATCTGTTTAATATGACCAAAACAAATTGAGAAAACATTCATTCTGCCTGACATAATATACTTGACCAGGTTTAAGTACACCGAGCAGGCGATGGCCATGTTACCACTGTCAAGGAATGCCATCATTTTCTCAGCCATCTTAAAATGCAAGTTTAATTAGTATAATATTTGCCTGCTGCTTCTCTTTACAATTGTCTATTAACAGCTCATGGAAGAAAAAATATGGATCATACCCCAATTACATATGTAGTAGGAAACTAACACAATAATGATCTTAATAGAGATTTCCGATTTTAACAGCCATAGCTAGCAAATTGGGTGAAGTTGAAAATGAAAAACTTCTGTTTCCATTCAGTCAAATTACTCTATGAAAATCAAGACAACTCTGAAAAACAATCCTTGAGGTTAGAAGGCTGACCTTGTTGTGTGCAGCAGAACCACCATACTGAATTGCAAGTGTGTCACCCATTGTCTCATAAATTCTTGTCAAATCCTCAGCCAAAGGATTATCAAGTTCAATATCTGATGATGTCGTAAATCCCAAAGCATGAAGTTGACGACCAAGCGCCACAAAACCATAGGCAAATTGTGCAACATTAGTGCGATCTAAACAGTCTATGCAGTTGGTCCTAAGGACCCCTTTCTGAAACATTAGGGGCTTTATACAGTCATTTTCAGTAGAATAGCTTATTTCTTTGCTGACATCTTTCCCCACCTTGATAGAATCAGCATTGTCAGAAAGGATGGAGCAATCACAGACATTTTGTCTGCATCAGATTAATATTTCAGGCAATGGAGTAAGTTAGCAGAAAATATTACCAAATCAATGGAATATAACCTGAATAAGAGTCATCTAGAAGCCTATGGTCATCCAAAAAGTTGCAAAGAGATGAGAAACCAAGATGCATATAAAAGCTCAGTTTCACAAGGTCATAAGTAGAGGTGAGCCAGAAGGGAATTGTAAATAGATTTCTCTTCAAACAAATAACATGTCAATTTGAAGAAAAATACTAAAATTATAAACAAAACAGAAATCACCACATGCATAATATATTTAATTTGAGAGAAACTTACTCAGAGAAGGAAATATTCAACAGTCCCTCTTGTCTAAAATTTGGTCTCACTTGACAGTGAAAGAAGCCAGTTAAATTTAATGGATATGCAGCTACCCTGCTTAGATGTGCCAACACATTTGCAGCTTTGCTGAAAACAAACAAGCTTCTTTCATGTCAAACAACTTTTAAGAGATTGATAACCAACCTATGCTATAGCAAGGGGATGTGGAAGTACTTTCTAGAGTGTTTGTGCAGATCCAAGTGTAAGAACCTCAAACGGCTTTCCTTAGTTGAACTCTTATTGATAAATCTGACAGCATTTGCAAACTCTGCACAGAGGATACTTTCTCGAGGTTTCTTCTCATGTGTCTGTTATTCCCAGAAATATCAGCAAAGCAACATGTAAGGAAATCAGGTTTAGATACAAGAAGACATCATACAATTTACAGATACAAGAAAACTGTTAGAGAAACACTCACCCTTATTAAATTTAATATAATTATTGGATTTCCATATCTCTTTGCAAGATTCACAAAATGAAGTCTTGTTGCCTCGTAATTGGTGTCCTTCTTTGATACTGAAAATGAGTGAAATCAGCAATCAATAAAGTTACTACCAAGATATCAATATGCATTTATGCCTTTCATCATGTATGTCCACATAAGCACGAACCCATACATAGGATATTGGGTTTCAAATTCAAGCGCGAAGTTTCCTGGGACCAGAAAAGTGGGATCGAACCCCGAATCTGGACAACAGAACTTATTTGCATAGGGCTTCCTTCAGGAACATTTTCCGACACAATTTGTTCTGTCTCAACATCATTAGCTACTCTACCCTTATCATTTACGCCGCGCTTCAAATATCTAGTCAATGGAAGATAAACACAAAAGCGTGAGAATTATCATGATCAGCCAGAGCACTAGGTTGGAAAGAAGTTATTACCATGGGACATGGAAGCATCACAAACTAGAATTCATAATAAGTTAGGATGAAACAAACAAAAGAAATTGAAGATTGCCAGCTGCAGAGTCAAGCAACAGATAACTTGCAAACTTAATTTACTTGTGAACTATGGAAAGCAAATGTATCTACAGCAGAAACTAGCAAACTTAATTTATTTGTCTTAATGAAATCCCATCTTGAGTATATAGCAAAATAAGTGCAGTTTCAACAATAAAACTACTCCAGCATAGATATCAGTTGGTAACTTGACAAGTATAAACCTTGTTCCAGCATAATGTCGTGAACGCCGAGCAATGAGAGTCAAATTAACGTCCCTTCCAGATACAGAAAGTTTGACCTGGATATCAAATCATGAAACAGTTAGCAGTAGCAATAGATTAAGTTTTGAAACATTCAATTAAAAATGTGCTAACTGACAGAATCATTTATCAGTACGTATTTTAGAACAGCTTCATTTACTTCAATATATGAGACAAGACATTGTTACTGTTTATTCAAGCTCCCTAAAATAATTGGAAACAAAAATGATAAAGAACAAGACCAATTAAGGACCATAAACAAATCAAATTCAATAAATGTTAAAAATGAATATCACAATAACTCTTTGAGGATGTGCTATCCAAAAATCTAGTGCAACAACCTGACTTCTAAATGAAAATTGATATAGAAACTCAAAGAAAAGAACAGAATGGCCACAAACAAATTTAACTCTTCTTGACATTATCCATTTTGTGTTGGATTATAATCTTGTAACATTTTACAAATAGCCATACTCAAAGATACCATACCTGCTTGAAGAAGCCATAAACTAATGCAACTGTCCACAGATTATTCTTGAGATTATCCCTGATTCCTCTAGTTAAGTACTCATTCCATACAAACATTGTTTCATACTGATACTGAACTTGTCCTGTTCCACTGTTGCATAAATTTTTTTGAAGACTATGCATGACATTGTATGAGTAGCTAAAAAAGAAGTCCTTTGTAAGATCCACCATGCAAAGAAGCTTCTTGTATCTAAGTCAACAAGGAAAAGAAGAAAAAAGAAAAAGGTAAGCCACATTAATTCATGTTTAACTAATTATCAAAAGGGGAAAGAAGAGGGATAAGAAACTGCTTAAATTATAAACATTAACTAGTAAAAAGAAAGGAAAGAAAAGTAGCCTTTGCCCCAAAAACCCAGGTGATACCTTGTCTCACTCAATATGTTATACAAACATAACATGGCAATCAATTTTGCCCCTGTACATATGCAGGAAATGTATAGCAATAGCATCTACATATGAAATTAACTAGGAAGATCTACTTTCTACAATAAACATTAATACCATAGAATAAAAACGTTGAATGATGTTTCAGTAGTCTCATCACAAAAATGAAAACCAATGTAAAAAATTAACCAGCAGAAGAGCTTCAGATAAGTTTAAATTGCAGAAGCACACAAATTGGGATAACATGAAGGAGTGTATTAACAAAATAGTACAGAGATTACCTCCATAGTGAGGAACATGTCTACTTTTAAAAGAGAACTCCATAACTCATCTTATTGTCCCAGAGATTTAATTTAGGAAAAGCTAAAACAATCAAAATGTAACATAATTCTCATCTAAACTAAATACAAATGAACTATAAAAAATTTTTGAGTGCTAATCACGTGTCTTGTTAGAAGCTCTAGAGTACGCATTACATTTACATGCAGAATTGACAAAAGACCTTTTCTCATCCTTAGAATTAGCCACTTTGGGTAGAACAGAAGCATGTGGTATAGAAATCATCTTGCTCTTGGAAATGGCATAGATGGTGTGCCCACAAATCAGACCTAGCTTCCTTCTTTTTGTGATAAGTAGCATGTAATAAGGTCCCAAAAATTTTATGAAACCTAAATCAATAGGAAAACTTTTCATTAGTTTGTGGCAAAGTCCAAGTGTAAAAGGGAGAGGGTGGGACCTCAGAGTGTACATACCAATTATTCCATAACAAACAGTGACAAATTTAAGTCCACCAGTAGGCCTATTTCCTTCATGTATCCGTCTTAATATATCACGGTATTCAGTTTCGGAGTATGTAGTACAATCTTCAACAATGTTTAGTTCAGAAGGCTCTAGGCGGTCAATCTTTAACACCCTCCACATAGTTCTATCCTTGTCCCTTCCTATCATATAGAAATACTGTAGTACACCAAAAGCAGAAAATTCTGTTAAAAGAATACCAACCCTGCATAAAAATTTCATTCCCTATCGATTACTTTCTAATTGAAAGTTTCAGATTTTCAATTGCTATATCTTCCATTAAATAATTGAAAGGCAAGTGTTCCAACAGAGATTATTTCATCAAAGAAGAAGAATAAAGAATTAAATCAGAGAAATAACAAGCAACATCAAACCGAATGGAAATTATGCTTAAAATAAAAGCAAAAATCACCATAGACTTTCAGAACTAAAGTCAAACTCAAAATCATGGACGCAACACGAAGATAGATAAACAACTAGTCAAACTAATCATGAAACCAGAGCAGAAAAACAAGTGTTCACATTCAACCGCATTGTTACATACTTAAACGCGTCTCTAATTGAAGATTAGATTGAAAAACGAAGAATACCGAGCTAGTCTCGTAGAGTCCGAACTTCTGCAAATAGCTTGCGTTCGGGTCCGGTCCTCCGGCAATCCAATTTTCCTCCGCCATCTGGTCGCCGGATCCCGAGCCTTCACGGCCGGGTAAACTCGAAACTCAGATCACCAAGAACCAGAACTCAAAAAAAAAAGAAAAAAAAAGAGGCTATCACTACAAAAACCTGAATCTATGCATATATACAATATATACACACATACAGGAGCAGAAAACACTGCAGAATCTAGCGATTCGTGCTGCAAAAGGAAAAAGAAGACCAGCAAGAAGAAGATGAATGGCGTAAATTAATGAACAAAAAGAAAGAGCTTTATTTTATTGTCTCTGAGATGAAAGGATGGAGAGGAAGCACGGAGAGAAGTAGAGATGGGAACAACCACAGATACTGGAACCACGGAATGATGGAAAAAGAGAGCAGTTTAATTTTTTTAAAACTGCGATTTACATGCAG